CACGTTATCTACACTCGTCTCACGTTGTCTACACTCGTCTCACGTTGTCTACACTTGTCTCACCTTCTCCCTTCCGTCCACAGTGTCAAGACTTCTTGAGAGCCGGCCGGGGGATCTACGAGGACATCTGCCGCCGACTGCCGTTCTACCCCTCTGACTTCACAGATGGTAGGCTGAGCACCGGTCTTGTTCTGGAAGTGAATCATCTCCCTTATTATGCCACACCGGGGGGCCTCTGGTGGCTCCTCGTTTGTCTGTCACCCTTTGCCTCGGACACATCTGCGCTCCATCTGTGTCACATCGAGGGTTTGTCTCCCGCGAAAATGTCTCACTGCTCCCGTATGTTCCCCCCGCACGTTCCAATGTTGTTGTCATTTCCCAAGTCATCAGACGAGGACATCGCCCCGTACGTTCCCCTCGCAATCTCAGCAGACCGGTGGTTTTATTGACTCATCAAATCGTTTTCTTGATCAGCAAACGTGTGAGAATGTTTCTGTCGTCAGTCAGACAGATGCACACATGCTGCTTGACCTTTAGAATTTGGTCTTTTCCGAGGGAGATGGATGAATACGTGTGAATGTTTTTGAGCATTGCCAGAGATGCTTGTTTATTTTGTTTTAAAGGGATTTTAACTGCTTAATTAAATCACATCAATTTACTCGGTTGACCTCGGAACGACTCAGTAAAGTACTTCTAAGGGGAACAGAGTTTTCTGGCTCAGCTGCTCTCGTTCAGCTCTTTCTCATTTCATAATATCCGACGCAGTCATCGGGCTGAAACACAGTCAAGATACTTCTGTGTGTGTGTGAGTGTCATCAGATAATGACCATCTGATGGAGGTCACAGGACCAACAGCATTGTGATCACATTAGAGCCCAGTTTAAGTTATTCAGAAAATGAGTTATCCATCATTTGCATGAAAGCGTTAACTGCTCTTACAAAACGATGGTCGGCATGAAACCGAAACTAATGACCCGTATTTTTATTTAAACAGGAGTCATGTGTTGAATAGTTCTACTGTACTCACTGGATGTTCCATATCGTGGAGGCACCGAATGATGAACTCTGTTAATGTTTTTAGTCATTTTGAAATGAAAGTGTTGAGCCTCCTCCGCTCCATTATGAGGTGAATATGACTCACGTGTTTGTGTTTGTCTCCCCCTCAGGCATCGTTGGCAGTAATAAAACCCTGCTGAAGTACATGACCACAGCCATCTTCCTCTACATCGCCATCCTCCTCCCCGCCATCGCTTTCGGCTCCCTCAACGACGAGAGCACGCGTGGCGAGATAGGTACGAGCACCGATGGACGTAGACACATGAACGCTGTTCTAAAAGGACAAGTTCCCGTTTATTTTCTCCACAGACAGACCGCTAAAAGAGGCAACAAAGCTTCAGATTTGGTTGATAAATTCTCCGTGGGTCAGTGTGAGGGACTGCTTCCACAGTACAAGTTGTCATGTCATTTTACATTGATGTATCATTTTTGTGGAGCTTTAAATTGGGTTTAAAATATGTGTATATTGACATCCTACGGAAGCCCTGAGAGGCAAAAAATCTCAATTGTTTCTCTCCTGAAAACAAATGTTACCAGAATAAAGTTCCTTATTTATTTATTATTATCTGTGAGACGAGCGGGAAAAAAAGCTTTGTCAAGATGAGTTACTTAGTTACTTCTTTCCATCTGTTTAAACTGGTGAGAAACACAGTTTCAGCTTTGAAAAATATTGTTTTTGTTTGGATAATTTGTTTTAGGCTTAAGTGCACCACTACCCCATGTTCTAAATATGACTAAAAACATGAATGCTTTTAGTCATATTTATAAAATGTGGTGGTGCCCTTCAGCCTCTTGTGGCCTAAATGAGTATTACAACAAACAACGTAAGATTCACCTTCCAAAGCTTTGTTCTCACACATGAAAACAAGTAAATTAGTAAAAACATTTTTTCATTATTTCTTTTCTGTTTCACAGATGAAGAAAATAATGAAGATAGAAAGATTTTCCTGGCAAAAAACAAACAAAATTAGCTGTTCATTAGTCATTACACTTATAAAATGCATATCAGGGCTTCCGTAACATTCTGATTAACCTCAGCTTCTGTTCAGCTTCACAGAAGATCCTTAAGCCCGTTAATTAGTCCACATCGGTACTTCCTCCTGAGTGTCCTCCGTGTGCGTCCTCTCTGTCCAGATGTCCGGAAGACCATCATCGGCCAAAGCATCGGCGGGGTCATCTACTCGCTGTTCGCCGGCTCTCCTCTAGTCATCCCTCTGACCACGGCTCCCCTCGCCATCTTCATCAGCGGTAGGCCTCAGCTCAGCCAAAACACACTCATCTTTTCACAGTTTCTGCCGGCGGGCGATTTGAAAAGGAGGCTCAGGGGGGGACTAAGAAGATTACATCAAAAATCAGGAGAAGGAGGCACCCGACTGTGTCGAGCAGCAGCTAGAAACGGTTACGTCCTCTCCTGCTCCCTCTTTTACTAGAAAACAGTGTGAGAAAGTTTTCTCACACAAACAGTATGTTGACTGTTGACTGTTTCTGGTGCAGTCGAGCAGAAAGCACATATTTCTCCGAACCTTGTGTTTCTCATTGATGTTACATAATGGTTGCTTTCAGGGGCCTACAGGTCAGGAAACTGGCTCGTCACACACACAACCATGCAAAACGTACTATTCCGTTGTGAGAGTCGACAGCGAATAAACTCTTCTATGGTTTTTACCCAACAGCAGCGTTTTGTTGCTTTGGATTTTAAACGATCTTGGTGGCTGGAAGCTGCGGAGTCGGTCAGCGGTGAGGAGGAGCAGCGACCCCGGTGCCAAGATGTGGTTTTAATACCAAAGCTGTGTGCTGGGTTTTGTGGTTTGATGCTCTTTGAAGTAAATGGGTTAGAACTGTGCTAAGCACATTCTCATGGGGATAATTATCGTACATTTCCAGCAGCCTGTCTGAGCAGAACAATGGCTCGTTTTTAAAGTTGTAACTCATCTGCGCACAAATCCGCTCGAGATTTCAACTGAATTGTTATGTTTTTAACAAATCCATTGCAATTCCTTTTGTCCTTCTTCATGTTTGAATGAAATTCTCCTTTTCTTTGTGCGTGAGTAAAGTAAATCTCTGCTAAATCTTTTCCTCAGTTCTTCAGTAAAAGCAGCAGCAAAAATATTCCTTCTTTGTTGTTTATTTCTTTATTTGTATGCGTCTGTATTTACAGAGTGAAGGCGATCGACACTGTTTCTTATTAACCCAGTTTGTTTGTTAATATTGATTAAAGCAACATCGATCACTCTGTCGCTCAGTCTTTGTTTGTCACATACAATTTCTCACTGATTGAATTTTGAAGTCACTTGAAGAAATAAGTTTCTTCCTTCCTATTTTGCACAGATTACGGGAGTTACTGTTGGATGTGAAGGGGCGACACGTTGACTGTTGGCTCATCTGTTTTTAAGGGTGTGAATCCACAAAAGGTCTGTGAGGTCGTAGGAGCTCCGGTGATGTCTGACATGTGCTGTGATCTGTGTTCATGTGCAGTGATACGAGGAATCTGCGACGACTACAACCTGGACTTCCCAGCCTTCTACGCCTGCATCGGGTTGTGGAACTGCCTCTTCCTCATCCTGGGAGGCATCTTCAATCTCAGCCTGCTCATGAAGCTCTTCAAAAGGTATTTCTCAGACACTTTTACAATTTGACTTCATTATTTTGACCTCATAAAAATCAAATGTAGGGAAGCAATTCTCACTGTTCTCTTGGTTCTGTTGGTGTGCTTCCTTCTCTGTCAAACAGAAGATGATTTAAATTGGTCGGTTGCGTTCTGTGTGACGTCTCAGAGCTTTAGATCTTTACTTCCGCTTCTGTTTTCAGAGTCGCTTCCGCCAAAACCAACAGATATTAAGTTCTCTTTTATCCTCTGCCCTCCCTCAACTGAACTCTGAGGAGAAGTAGCAAATATATATATATATATACTGTATATATATATATGTGTATGTGTGTATATATATATTCACTGAAATGATAGCCGTGGACAGAGGCATGTTTTTGGGACGTCTGTCTGTCCCATTCTCATGAACACGATATCTCAGGAACGCCTTGGAGGGAATGAAGTGATTAGAATCGGGTCAAACGTCACTGTGACCTCACGAGAACTCAAGAATTCATCTGCTGTTCATTACAATCTCTCTCAAATGTCTAATAGGATCAAATAATGAAGCGATGACATTTTGGACAGACGTGGAGACGCGCTTCTTCTAGTTACTCGTTATGTGTTTGGGTTTTTTTAATGTTTAAATGTATGTACTTTTAATATTGTGTTACATTTTATTCATATGTTGTGTTTGTGTTTTGTTTCACTGCTGCACAATACATGTTGGTCCTATTAGTGTTGAGTATTGCTGTAGAATCTCTTTCAGATTTTAAAACATTTTGTGAAAACACACGCACGCAAACTATACTCTGACACGTTGCTTTTTAGATTTAAATTGTAGTTTAATATGATTCACTTCTGTGTGTTTGGTAGTTTCAGTACCGTGTTCTGACCCTGGTACATCTGCCTGCAGGTCTATTTCTAGTCTGTGATTAAAAAGTGTGATTAAATTGTAATTGTTTTAATTATTTGGCCAAAAATACATTTATTTTCTAAGCACGGTTGTGTGGATGGAATTATAATTATTATTTTCCATTAAGAGTAGTTTTTATGTTTATTTCAGTTCATATCTGCATCTTTGTAACACTTTATTTTGATATGCACTGTTCTACAGCAAGCTTGATTATCACCGCAGTAATGCTTGCTGTGGTCTTCCAGGTCGACAGAGGAGGTCATCGCGCTCTTCATTTCCATCGCGTTTGTGGTGGACGCCATGAAAGGAACAGTCAAGAGTAAGTTGTTGTTCCCACATCGCTGTTTGTCACAGTCTCACATTAAGCGACAATAAGCTGTCCTCTGCTCTGACTGATCAGAACCGATGCTGATGCTCGGATCATACCTGCTGTCAGATCCACCACACACGTCTGATTTATAAACAGCCGAATACGTGAAGACAGGAAAACTTCACATCTCCAAAATAATCGACACACACACTTTTTAATTTGTGATTTAAAGGTGCAGCTCACTGATTAGCACTGCCGTCCTCCACTGAAGAATCCTTTGTTGACTGGTCGTCAGAAGATCTTTAAAATGATCATTGAGTCTATTTAATTACAGCTTTTTTCCCACTATTCTGCAGATGAATACCGTCATTCAGAGGAATCTTTTCAAATCTGTTCTTATTGAAGAACAAGCCATATTCTTGAATGTTAACGTATTGCCAGATAGTTAGTTTTCCTGGAAAAAGACCATAAAAGACAACAAAGAAACTGTCAGACAGCAAAGACCCAACATGTGATGAATGAACTAATCTCATAAGAGCAGTGCTGCTTCTTCAGGCGTCATAGTTGCTCTGTTACTCCGGTGGGTCAGCAGACCGAGCGGCTAAGAGAGATACGATGTACTAACTTAATCAATCCAGATTTCGATCCCCAGCCTGCAGCCATATTACCCCCCCATCTTAGTATGTCATAAATATTTTACACAATTTAATTTCCAAAACGAGGTGATGACGGCAGAATATAATGTATTTTGAATGCGATGTCGTCCTGTTTCCACAGATTGCCGGTGCAGTCGTTCAATTTTCAGAAACCACTTGTAAAATACGCTCCGAGCTCACACGTAATTACCATAACATTAACCTCTGCCATTTTGTTGACACTTTTCATCCCAAGTATTTTTGCGCAGCATGAATGAATGAATGCACCCCGTGAGTGCATCCAGGCTCCTTTACAACTTTGCTTGCCACGTAACTTTCTCCCGGTTTGATGAACAGGCCGGCGGAGGGAGCGGCGTGCACGTTGAGTCTCACGCTCTCCAGTGAAAGTGATGATGGGAACTTATTTCTGCTTGTGTGGCACTCTCAGAGACGAGGTTGTGTCATTCTTCTTATTTAAATAGTCGTTAAAGCAAAGCTCTACTCTACAGGGTTTAATATCTCAACCCTCAGCTGAAGGAGCAGACTCACATGATGACTGCAGATCTGATGTGTTGATGTCTGTCACATTGTTACTGTAAATAATAAGTCTCAACTTACAAATACCATAATCAAGTATTACAAAAAAACTCAAATTATTATATATATATATATATACATATATAAGATATGCCTCTGATTCAGGTTTCTATACACAATCTTGTAGTTTGTATGAGCAAGTTTGGAAAATTGCTACATTTTTCTTTATAATAATCATAACACATTTATAATTAATCATGTTTGTCATCTCTCCAACCAGTGTTTTGGTGAAAGTGCTGGTTTTTCATAGCTTTTGTAGGCGTGAACTACAGACTCATTCTAAACTAGATTAAACTTATCAGCGTATGAACATGTCAGAAACAACTGGACGAGGACGAGGTTCATGCAATTTGCAGGTTTGTTTATAAGTCTGTCAGCTCTTTCATGTGGAATTCTTTATGTTTTTCTGTTGTTTTAAACTTCTTGCTGTTCTGTTTTCTGTGTTTTTATTTGGTGTTTGTGTGAAGCTTTCACGCTGTAATCTGGGACCCTTTTGTAAATGAGGTTCAAAATCTCAAAGACACTTTCCTGGCCAAATAAGATTGAATGAAGGAAAAGAAGATAATAAAAGTGTCAGGACTGATTTCAGTGAACTGACTCCAGTGCAGTCTGATGTTGCTGTTGTTGCCAGCGCAGAAATAAAGTCCTACGTATGCAGACTTTAAGAATTCTAATAGTTTGACCGTTGATCCAGTCGCTGCCCGTCATTCTAATGGAGATGATTCTCAACATGTTTGATATTTACTGTGTGAGCCAAACGTCCAAAAACACTAATCAAAAGTAGTGCCGTGTAACTCGAGTGGGCTTTTTTTTTTATGATCCAGTTGATCAGGTTTCAGTGCAGAGCCACAGCTCAGCTGATGAGTTTATCTCACTGTTATGAAGGTCTCTCTCATCCAGCTCACCCGGCAGAGTTTACAGTCCCTGTCCTCTATTTCTCTCCATCCTGCTGGACCAACAGAAGACAAAGGTCTGCCCATTGTAATTCCCTTTGCGCCAATAAAGTGCAATTTATTGGCACATCCACCAGGGATGTTTGTTCGTGTTTGTTATACAGTCACATCAGTAGTTAGTGTTTTAGGAGTTCAGACATTTCACATAAAACTACAAAAGCCAATCAGCTGGTGGCGCTAGAGGAGAAGTCAGTGCATCACCAAACTCTTTAGCATTCATCCTCTGGGCACCATGAATGTCTGTGCAACATTTCATGACAATCGTTCTAATCACATTGGGGGACCATCCAACCCACTAGCGTGGATAAACAACAATCTGCGTATGTTGCTGGAAGTAGTCGTTACGTTGCAGAGTTTGTAGTCTTTGCTTAATCTTCAGAAATGTTCTCAGCTTAACTCAACCCTGTGGATGTGACTTCAGTCTTTCACAGGTACTACCACGCCCCAACGCTGGCCAACGGCACCATAGACGCCTTCCCTCAGGGCGGAGACCTGCTCGGGGGAAACAGGAGCGAGACGGCGGCCGGGTTCGCCCTCAACGCCCTCCCTGATTCTGTCATCCATTGCACCCGAGAGAGGCCCGTCCTCTGCCTCCTGCTGATGCTCGGGACGTTGTGGATGGGCTACACCCTCTACCAGTTCAAAAGGAGGTACGTGCAGCACTGCGGCACTCTGGAGATAAATCACTGGAGGAGTTTTAAATCTTGTTTGGAGGGCCTCGACTCTAAAGATTGTCTGGAGTGACGGCGCTCGCAGGAACTTTTCCAGACGGGCTCTCGCAAAGCTCTCGATTCTGTCGAAGCTTCTGTCCCAGCCTATGATTTAATAAGCATTAATATTCTACTTCTGATTGGCCCAGTAATCAAATCAACCTCAAAGCTGGATTCAATTGTGTAAGCAACAGGCGGACCGAGGTACTTAGGCAGTGTCAGGATTGCAGCCATTGTCCTCGTCTTGTCCACAGTAATTGTATTCCTCTATTATTTGTCTCTTTCTCTCCCTCTCTTTCTCCCTCTCTTTCTCCCTCTCTTTCAGTCCGTTCCTGCATGCCAAAGTGAGGGAGGTGCTGTCGGACTGCGCCCTGCCCATCTCAGTGCTCGTGTTCTCCTTCATCGGCTCCTACATTTTCAGTGACATTGAGCGTTAGTATCATTTGTTGCTTCTCCAGATAATAGAGTGCATTTGACTTGTTCATGCTAAAGGAAACTTCATTGTGTGTGTGTGTGTGTGTGTGTATATATCGGCCTGCAACAAAAGTTTCTCACCACAGCTGTAATTACACTTTTTGATTTTGAGGTTCAAAATCCAAACTTCTTTACTCTTAATGTAAAATGTCTCATTGTTAGGATCAAATCACACACAGTGGTCATTTTAAACGATGAGCAAGATTTCTGTGATTTAGATGTTTTAGATTTAATGTGTTATGAAAATGTCTTAGATATTTAGCTGGAGTGTAACACCCTGAGTCATGAAGAAAATGAGTTCAGATTTGACTATATCAGTGACTATCTGACGTTTGTAGTGACCCTTTCCTTTACGCGGAGTCATTGAGTGATACTATAGATTTATGTCGTTGGCAGAAATGGGAAATATTAATTATAACTGTTTATATTTGATAATAATCACCTGAAGCTAAGAGTCATGTGTCTACGTTGGCTTACCTGAGCCCTCATATCTACATCGGGAGCGGGTCCTCTTCATGGAGTCCGCCATATTGCACCGCCATGTTCTACAGTAGCCCAGAATGGACAAACTAAAGTCTGGCTCTAGAAAGAGCCACCGTAGTTCTTCGACACACTTGTGTAATGTCAGTATTGTTAGCCGCAGAGTTAAAACCGCCTTACCGCCAGCTGCTGTCTGACTCCCGTTGCTCCTGAAGTTGTGTTATTATGGTGATGAAGTGGTGATGAAGGTGACTCACACTACTCACGTCTCAAAGGGGGGGGTGAGCGGAGGGGGTAGCAGTTGGTTGAAATCTGCAATCTCACTGCTAGATGCTACAAAATCGTACACACTGTCCCTTTAATTAACTCTTTTATATAAAGAAAATATACAGAACTTTAATATAAATAAGAATACCTCCTCTCTCAGCCATGATAACTGTACGCCACGTGCACGGGCATTTATGCTTTCTCACAGCTTTTTAATGGATGATGAAGTGATTTACAGTTGTGTTTCTGTATTTTAACTCGGACCAACATGGCTGAAGAAAAGCATCGCTGGTTTCTCATCTGCGTGCATATCAGCATTTATTTGAACTTACATGAAGTGGGTTTATTGCCTGTGGTTTTGTGTCTTTTGTGTATTATTGCAACGTACTTAGTCTCTCTGCTGTTAAAAAAAGAAAAAGAAAGCATAGAACATTTCATTAAATAAGAAGAATAAGGGAAAGTGATTGTTAGAAAGCTGCCTGTGGTTGCTAGTCAGCTGTCTTCTAGTCCCAGTGCTCTGCTGTTTGGGGTGTGTTCACACTTAAGGGATTTGGACTCTGGTCCAAACCTGCTGAGGGGCTCAAACTTATAGCTTGTTTACTCCCCAGACTGACTGTGTAGCTGCGGGGCTTCCACTATTCGCTGCCTTTATTGTCTTTCTTTATGTTCCTTAATCAAGGTACAGGCCAGAACACATTGGATATTTTCATATCCTCCATTGTTTAGCATCATTTGGAGTCTTCATTCATCGTTGCCAAGGCAGCAGCTGTTCTCCAGGGGGCGACTCAGAAACAGAGACGAGCGCCAAAACCCTCGAGTGAATTCAAATTTAAGTGCCCGGCCAATTCTCTGTTCCTTTACCTCCGGAGACAATAAGTCATAAGATAATAGGCCCATTATTGTACTGTCATTACTTCCTAAATGGAAGTAACTGCACTTAATTCAGCGGCGTTTGAGGGGCCAAATGAGATATCCAAGACATTTGAAAAGAATCCAGCTCCTCCTAGGAAACGATGTTTGGTGTGAAAACATGAGTCATCACAACAGTCTGAGAGACAGTTATGTTTGTGAAGATGGAATCTGTTCTGATAGCAGATTTCAGGCAAAAATGACATTCCTGTCACCTTTTAAAGTCCACAGAAGGAATGTATGTTTCTAACTTTGCTCTAATGGAGATGTGATCAAGCAGGGCCTGAACTACAGTTATCTAACAAAGTAAGAACGCTTTCATTGGAGGAAAGTCTCACTCATGAATTACGCTCATAGTTGTAATTAGGACTGCAGCTAAGGATTATGTTCATTATCAATTAACCCTTAGAGACCCACATAGACCCATTTCTGTCTTTGTTTAGGGGGGGCGGGGGATCTTTATGGGCGGGTCAACAGTAGATGCCACATAGAAGTGTGTGTCGAGTTTTATAGTTATAAATCCGTAATACACATTGTGTTTAGGACACTATGATGGAAGTATACGATGCCATTCCCGTGCTCAATAGTGTCTCATAAGTTGTTGCAGCTTTTTTGGGGGTTGATGCCATTTGTTACAGATTTGGTGCAAAATGTAACCATTGTTTTCCACTCAGGAATTGATAACAATGATCAAAAATCCCTCCAAAATACCACATTAACACACTAAGACTTTTAGAAACACCAGAGAAAAATCCATGCTGTGATTTGATATCTAAAAAGCTTTTATGCATATTTTGGTGATTGGATGGCGAGTACTCCTGTTCTGGAAACTGCCCTTTCTTGACAATATACCTTGGAAAGCCAAACATCCTCTGAATGCCCAATGTCTCCCGTTTGTGGGTGTAAAGGGTGTAAATGGTCTCACTATGTTTCTAATATCATCACACGTGAATACAATGGGGCTCATTGGATCCACAAGAGTCTCGGCCTTTCCAGTCATACCCAATTTATGCAATTCCAAGACTGTTGAGGGACCCAAGTGTGCCGAAATATTCAAATAAACCATTTCAGAATAGGCGAAAATAACACATTCATTCATTCTGCATTGGATTAGCATAAAGTGGGCATGTTTGTAAAGGGGAGACCCATGGGTATAAAAGAACCTATTTATATTCACATATCTTAAGAAAGAGGTCAAGGGACCCCTTTGGAAATGGCCACCTAGCCCAACTTTGTACCATTATTTAGCCCATTAGTGACATGGTTGGTACCAATAGAGGCCTTCAGAAGATCCATTATCTTCACTCTCGCTTTAATACCGGCAATCTGGCAGCTCTCAGTCTGCAGACAGTTTTCCTGATTAACCAATATATTGTTTAGTGCCTAAAATATTGGTTGTTCTGTCCGACCAACACTCCGAAACCGAAATATGTTGAACTTTTACTATCCATATAGAGAAAGGAAAAACAGCAAACCTTCATGTTTTAGAAGCTGGAATCAGCCAATGTGGAATGAATAAAATAATTAATAGATTATCAAAATTGTTGCCGTCTATCTGTCCATTGAGTGATTTAATTACTCACCGACTATTTCAGCTCTGGTTGTAATTTTGTCTCTTCCTCTGTGAACAGTTCCAGTCTTTAAAGTTCACGACCGGCCCGTCTTCAAAGTGGCTCCGTTTGAGCGGCTGTCGGCCATGAACGTCGTCAGCGCCATGGGCCTCGGCTTCCTCCTGGCCCTCCTCATCTTCATCGACCAGAACATTGTCGTCTCGCTGACCAATGCACCAGAGAACAGGTACCGTAGAGGCGAAGAGGCCTTCATGTACAGAAGGAGTTTAACAAAGAAAGCGTGACTTGAAACAATTAGAAAACTCTCCGAAGGGATAATATCAGTGATACTTATTAGGGATACTAATTCTTGTGCATTAGCTTTCTTAAACTCTTTCCATGACCCCTCAAAAAGCCACCAAGGACCTTTGGGATCTGCTGGAACCGGATCTTTGCCGGTCTGTTAGGGAGGGAAGATTAACTGAGCCAGAAACTTGACATCTGAGTCAAATATTCACAGTCGGGGAGCTCTGAAGAAGCCTCGGAGCCAAAACACCATGTTGAGCTTTTTACCCTGTTCTTCTACATTTGCATCGGAGAGACCACTTACAGAAGCAGCAGCCATCGACCAGCCCGGCAGGGGAAATCTATGGTGATGGAATTACAGCTCTTATCATCCACATTTATTGGGGAGAAATTAATTGGATCTAAATGTCTGTTCCAAACGACGACTGGAAAGCAAAGCGACGGCTTGATGTCTTCGACACTGTTGTATTGTTTTATATATTTTAAACTACAATATATATATATATATATATATATATATATATATAAAATGAAATATTAAAATATTTAATCGCGATTAATCGCATGGATTTTTTGCGATTAATCGCATTGTTATGGCAAAGTTCAATAATGAATTCAAAAGTAGTGTATTGCTCACTTTTATTTTAAAAGTACTGCTATATGAACAAAAGGGCAATAACATTTGGTTCACGTGATGCAGGTAGCATGTTTTATACTTTGGTTATCCAGTTATCCAGTCATGCTCAAGGGTGCATCAGCAGGACACATGGCTGATGATCATAATGATCAGTGTGTATTGATATTTCTTTATTAGTGTTATTGCTGTAGACACTAGAGCTGGAGAGACAGGGAAGATGCACAGCAGTGATCTAAAATGTTCCGTGGCATCATAAAGGTCGTCCTTCTCTGTGACGTTACTCTAATGACACGCTCGGCTCATGACGTCGTCGTCAATGACATATCGATGTATGCGTCGCATGTGTGAGAACATGTTTGCATGGCACATTAACCATGAATGAGAAGAATTAGTGAAACATACGAGCGCGTTTATTCAGGTTGTGTTAAAGGACGCCGCTGACCTCAGGAGAGCGATGCCCTTTGTATTTGTGTGACCGAGTGTGTGACTGTATGCTCATTTTCTTTTCACATCTCTATCTCTGTGTGTATGTGTGTGTGTGTGTGTGTGTGTGTGTGTGTGTGTGTGTGTGTGTGT